GGATCACTATGGGGATTTATTTGATTCTTTCCGGTCTGTTCGTTTTGATGCTATTTTATGGGCATTAGAGTGACGGGCAGCTTTCTCATTAACCTGCTCAGTACGACGCATATCCTAAGGGGATCTCATGCGGTTCGCTCAACCAAGCTCCGTGCATAAGGTTACCAGTTATCATGAATGGATATAGGATACTCGTGTACCTCTTCCGTTCTTCTTCACACAATGATGTACAACAGAAGGTGACGACAGCTAACCCATTGGGGACCACATGTAACTTGCCACTCCGAATCACATGATGTAGTCTACCGGTTGTCACAACTAAACACTGGGTCCCTCTGACTGATATTCACGTACTGTTTCTATGCCTCGCATCGACGGCGTGGAGTAACAACATATTCTGCTGAAAATGAAAATCGCAGCTTGATGTGAACGCGGCTTTCTGTGCTTCAATGCGAATTTCGACTTTCGATTGACAGTGAGCGCGAATTGCGGATAACAGCTGTGAATAGAATCTAAACTATACATTGCACAAGTCCGTGTGATCAATCTTTGGAGGTTTCGACCAAATGATGACCTTTCAACAAAATAAATGTTTTCAAAATATTTGGACGGCATCGCTCTGGTGTTGCCCGTTTAACCGTACTCTCTCACTAGAGGCAACCGGGTGAATTGAGGATATCTTGTTGTTCAATCACGTGAAATGCCTTCTATCTGTGAAATAATCATGGTTCAATCTAAAGACGTTCGGATTAACACCATTTTCTTCAATTAGATTGAGCACTACCGATCGATCAAGACTGTCGAATACTTTTGTAATCTAAGAACATCATTCTGATTGCTTCCTGTCCAGAGCTGACAGTATGGAATGGATAAGACAAACAACTACATTAAGTGGGAAGCGCGAAGAGTGACATGTAAATTGATGAATGTCATCTTCGGTAGACTCAATGACAACCCATGGAGGCAAGATTCTCTCAAATAATTTGAGCATGACTGGAGTGCTCTCGATGAAACGATACTTCCCAGGGACGGGAGTTATTTTATCCAGTCTCCAGGTGCGGGATATTTTCCCCTTATCAAAAAGTCTCTCAATATGTCAGATATTGGGACTGAAAGCGTGTCCACACATGTCTTGAGCTCCAGGGGTGATAGATGATCCGGACCAGAAGTTTTATTTACCTCAGTTTTCTGTAGCCGTCGGACGTTCAATAGCCGTAAAGAGTGAAACTGGGCTAAACTCGGAACTGAGTCTTTCAAAATCCAGAGTTTCTTGTGTTTAT